GTGGAAGTTTCTCATTTCAAGAGTTTCCATATTATATTATTTAAAATGTAGAGTTTCAACAGAAAGTAGGAGACCTTCAAAGAAACTAAAAGTATGGCATACATGCAGTATAAAAGCAGTAAACATAAACTGTCTCTGAGGAAGCCCATACATTGTATTTACTAGACAAAGATTTGTATCAGTTATCTTAGTTGTGTTTAAAGAACTGAAGAAAACCATGTCTAGAGAACTAAAGTATGAGAATGATTTCATACCAAATAGAGATCAATAAAGAGATAGAAATTACAAAATACAGCCAAATAGAAATTCTGAAGTTGAGAAGTAAAGTAAAAGAATAGAAAATTTTACTAGAGGGGCTCAACAGAAGATTTGAGAAGGCAGAAGAAAGAATCAGCAAACATGAAGGTAGGTCAACTGATATTACCAAGTTTGAGGAGGAAAAGAAAAAAAAAAGGAATAGAGCCACAGAGACTTGAAGAAAACCATCCAACATAGGCCTAATGGGAGTCACAGAAGGTGAGGAGAGGGAAAAGCAGAAAGACTATATAAAAAATAATGCCCCAACTTTCCAATTTGATGAAAATCATTAATCTATACATCGAGCATGTTCAACAAACTCTAGGTAGGATAAAATCAAAGAGATTCATACCTAGACACATTATAATCAAACTATTGAAAGCCAAAGACAATGAGGATCTTGAAGCAGTAAGAGAGAAGTGACTCATCAAGTTCAAAGGATTCTAAGTAAGATTAGTAGCTGATTTCTCATCAGAAACTATGGTGGTCAGAATGCAGTAGCATGACATATTCAAAATGCTGAGAAGAGAAGAGCATCAACCAAGAATTGTATAGCCAGAAAAACTATCCTTCAAAAATTAGGAAGAAATCAAGACATTTTCAAATAAACAAAAAACTGAGAGAATTCTTTGGCTACAGATCTGCTCTTCATAAAAGAGAAAAGCTCATTTAGACTTTCAGGCTAAAATGAAAGGTCACAATGCAATTAAGTATTGATCAATTAATACCAATTTGATGGTGAGTACATGTGGTGCTTGTTTTTCCATTCTTGTGATACTTCACTTAGTAGAATGGGCTCCAGCTCTATCCAGGATAACACAAGAGGTGCTATATTACAATTTTAAAATAATATTCCATTTTTTTGTCCCTTAACAAACATTTTAATTTTCTTTCGGAAAACAAGAATTCAAATTGTATGGGATATTAAATTCCAGAGGCTCCCACAACTTTCCTTCCTTTTACCATTACCCCATGGCTGCCATTGATTTGTAAGGTAAATTTCACTTTTAGGAAAGACACACTTAGGAGAAATGCACTTCTGATTATTCTGAGAAAATCAATTGAAAAATCAATTCTGACAAAAGATAAAAATCAACATGCTTTCCCTAAACCAAATGTTATAAATTCCTTCTAAATATAATAGTATTAAATAATTTATCCACTCTTAGTAAATTAACCATAATAAATATTGAGACAGGTCTTTATAACATATTTGGGAATTCAGTCCTAGAAAATACTAGAATAGTTGAACAGAATTCAAATACTCTTAGCATTCACAGCCTCAGAATGCCAAAATACTAAATACTGGAAAAGGATGTTCTAATTATTTACAAGAAACGAGTTCATTAGTAAATTAAAAGTTAAGCAGAGACTTCTTTTTTCTTATGATTCAAGATTTTACATTTCCCAAGTATCATAATTATCATGAGCAATTCTCTTGTAGTTCTACTATAGGTTATAAGATATCAGAGATACAGCTGAATATGGCTAGACCTTAGAAAATACCATATAAGATGCCATTTTGCATCAGACATATTTATATTCTATAAAAATAGAACAACTAGGATAGTAAACTCAAAGGACCACAGACAACATCTAAAACAAAACAAGGTGAAAAAAGTATACCCATAAATCCTCATTTATGTTTTCTAAACTGGAAGGGTCTTTGGCATAATCTGATTAGAAGTAGTGCAAAGGATCTGTGATTCATTAAGGTCTGATGGTGCTAGATAAATGTGGGCCACACAAATTCTCAAAACTCACCAACCAAAGTTCCCTAACAAGATAGAGCCCTATCCCACACTATGAAAAAACTGGGAGGAGAATCCAAATTGACCAGGACTGGAGTAATAAGAGAGAGAAAAGAAAAAGTCCAGTTAAAAGTGAGGTTGGAGCTGAGGAAGCAGATCTCAGAAAGCATAAGAACATAATTTTTTATCTTGCCTTTCAAAAGAGGGAGCTTTAGAGCTCTGAATCAAGAAAATTTACTTTGGCTAACACCTCCTTTCTCAAAGTACAGAAAAACTCATTCATTGAAACTGAGCAGTAGAATAAAACTGTCCATACAAAGGCATTATAAGACAAAAGAGGAAGGGCAAAATAACTTCCCTTCAGATAATGAAAGCATGCCAGACAGATGCATGACAGGAGTCCCAGAAGAAGAAAATCTGAGTAATAGAACAGAACAAATACTAAATGTCTTTTAAAAAAAATATGATCAATATTACACACTGAAAGAACATGATTGATACACTCTGGAAAAATCAACCAACAACAGCCATTGCTGAGACATACTGTAGCAAAACTATGAGTCACAGTTTTAAAGCTAAAATTTATTTTTGTAATAATACTAATAAATATTTTGGTTATACAAGCAAAAAGACCAAGGAAAAGAAACTCAGATTATTATCAGACTCTTTGACAACAACATTTTATGCAGAAGACTATGGAATAACACATTTAAAGCACTCAAAGAAAGAAAAATGTGAGCCATAGATTTTATATACAGTCAAAATGATGTTCAAGTAAAAAGGCCATAAACAAACAATTATGAACATGTAAGAACTCTGCAAATAATGTTCACCTGCATGTTTACTGAGTTATCTCTAAAAGAACAAGCATTAAGACAACCAATTGCTGATGAGATACTGAAAAAAGTACTAATGAGTGACCAATTAGTTAATGAATGGTATGTTATTTAGAAATACCCTAGCCAATAAAGTAAAATATCTCATTTTTGCAATCCTTAATGAACTAATGGATCTCAGCAACTATCATCAATAGGTGCTAACAGCTCATCTCCTGATAGAAGAATACAACATTATCTATAAAGTGGTCTTCCAGCCCCTAATGAACCTGAGTGTGATCAAGCCTCTACATCTAACCATCACTTTCAGGAAATATAAGACTCAGATGAACATGTTAAGTGACACCATGGGGCTGCATTCAGCAAAATGCAGACATTAGAAACAATATTGGATAAACAGCTAGTTTCTTCAACAAAAAATTATAAGAGGAAGAAAGGAAAAGGAAAGAAAACCCATGGATTAAAAGAGACTTCAGAGACATATAAGTCAATTGTTTATATTGCAATTGCATTTATATTACAAAATCTTATTTTGATCTTCATCAAACACACAAACTTATACAAACACATTCATATGAAAATGAAATGGTAAATATGAACACTGGCTAACTATTTGTTGATATTAAGCAATTATGTGACTGGCTACTTGCTATTTGGAAATTATTGTTAATATTTGTGTTAATAATAGTGATAACTATTGTTATAGCTTAAAACAAGTGCCCTTATCTTTTAGAAATACACATTGAAATATTTACAGATGAAATAATATGATGCCTGAAATTTCCATCAAATAATTGTGGGGCACATGAGGACTAGGGACAAAACAAGGTTGACCACATACTGATAACTTCTGAATCTGGATTCATTATTCTATGCTCTCTATACTTGTATTCCATTGAATATTTATACTGTAAAAAGTTTAAAAATAAAAGACAATTCAGTGCAGGAGGACCTGTTTTGATTAACTGAAGGGTTCTTGTAGATATTTTTTCTGGCTAATTAAAATACATAAAGTTGTCTAATATAGGATAAAAGACTAGTCTACAGTGCATATAATTTTTATTGGTAAGATTGTGGAATTTACAACAAAAGCAGTTTTCTATTAAATTCCCTCAAACTTATAATTTCTATACCTTTCTTGTTTGGCAATCCTAGCTTGTTAACTTTGTTAGTGTACACAGGCATAGTGAAAGGCTTTAGTGTGCTGTAGAAAGGGCATACAACTGAGAATCAGTTCACCTTAGTTTCAATCCTGCCTCTGTTCTCAGGAATCTTTGTGGTCTGGGACAACTTGTTTAATTATCCTAAGCCTCAGTTTCATCATTTGTATAATGAAGGAGAAGGAGTTGGACTTACCTTCTGTATAATTTAGATATCTACCACCTCTGAGGTGTTTTTTTTTCCTGGACATTTTATTCTGCTGAAAAATTACTATAGCATTTTCATAAATTGAGATAGGTAGGAGTTTAAAACTATGTCTAAACCCCTAAGTCATGGACCAAGTGACATTTGACATAGAGGAGTAATTTATCCAGGAAGCATAATTAAATTTTTTTAAAATTTTTAATTCTTATGAGTACTTAATAGTTGTATATATTTATAGGGTACATGTTATGTTTTGATATAGGCATACAATGGGTAATAATCAAATCAGGGAAATTGGGTATCCATCACCTCAAGCATTTACCATTTCTTTGTGTTAGGGACATTCCAATTCTATTCTTTTAGTTAAAGTATATCATAACTTATTTTTGACTATAGTCACTTTGTTGTGCTATCAAATATTGTTCATTCTATCTAACTATCCAACTATATTTTTACACCCATTAACCACCCCTATTTTATCTCTCCCTCCCCCTTCCCTTCCTAGCCTCCAGTAACCATCATTCTACTCTCTGTCTCCATAAGATCAATTGTCTTAATGTTTCGTTAGGTCCCACATATGAGTGAGAACATGTGAGATTTGTATTTCTGTGCCTGGCTTATTTCACTTAACCTAATGTTCTCCAGTTCCATCCAGGTTGTCAGTAAGCATAATTTTGAATTAGAGGATGAGGAAAACATGATTCATGTTTAATGGGAAAAGTCTGAAGATCAGAATAGATCCCAAGCTTACCAGGAAGTACCAAAATGGCAGTACCATGGAAAACTCCAGCTTGATAAACAAGGTGCATAAATAACTGCAGCAAAGAGAAATCATAAAATAACCCAGACACTTGACTCAGCATTGCCCAAATTTCACCTAGCTTATGAGGTAATTTAAGTGAAATGCAGTGTACTTGGGGATTATCCAAAAGGCAGATAAAAAGTGTTGAAAGGATTACAAAATAGGCAAAGCTAAGGGAACTAAGATCACTTGGCCCAGGGAATGCTGGGGTGCAGGGAAGCTGTAATAACAACCTTCAAATAGGCAAAGAAATATTATCCAGATGAAGATAAGGAGCTGTTTTAGTCAGCTGGGTAGGGTCAGGGCTTATATTACAGAAAAAAGAATTATAGTTAGGCTTAGGAAAAACTTCCTGGCATCTGGGAAATTGGAAATGTTCTTTCTCTGGGGATCTTTAAGCATAGGGAAAAGTACAATCTTGAGATGATTTTGGTGTATCCTCCTTGATGTTATGAGGATAACTAAATGATGCATATCTAGTGATTTACATTCACATCTCATAGATGTGGGTAAAAATAATTGCTTTGGTGTGGACTGCAGATACAAATCTGGAAGACATAGATCAGGCCTCATTACCTTCTCTCATTCTTTCAATTTCCTGCTCCTTGAACTATCATAATTGTCAACATCAAAAACTTCTTAAGCTCTATGTGCACATGGAATATGCTAGCCCACTGCCAATGGAAAGAACATAATCTCTACTCTTTTGCATGTCTAATTCTTCTCCCCATGAAAAAAATGCAATGTTTATTATTTTTGTTGCTGGTTTAGTTTGGTTTGTAATTGCTTTTCCTATGGTTATCCTCAATTAGGGTCCTTTATGATGAGAGGGTGAGAAAAAGAGGTGGTTGTATTATATATGGATGCTATGGGAGGAGCGAATTAATGGTATTATCAAGGAGGTGAGGTGAGTGAGAATTAAGGCAACAGACGAAATCATGAGAGGAAAAAGGAGGGAAAATTGCAGGAGTTAGCATAGAAATGAAGAGCTCCTTCTGGTAGGTCAAGAAATATTTATTAAGTGCCAAGAGTGCAATGGGGCACAGAACAGCAATAGGCCCTGGTGGTTCCTATCATTGCCCTATTACACAGGTGCTGCCCCAACCTAACAGCTGTCAGAGCTAGAAACGATAGCTGGTGCCTGCTATGAAAGTTATTATTGGGGCACTCTGATTTCAGTATTAATATTTGTATTTGTTCAGTAACACATAGAAATCTGTTTTTGTGTATAAAACATGAGTGACATAGGTGACCTGACTTGTTGTTAGCATACAGCACAAAAATGCTTCCATTTAACGACATCATTATTAATATGAACTTTGACTCTGCTGTCGAATCTGCTGTTTTGCTGGATTTTTTTATGTACTTGCATTTATTTCCACCCTATACTCCCGCCCCCAGCAGTGTGCTTATGAAAGGTAAAAGAAATGACAAGTTCTTAAAGAGCTGGGATACATATTAAACAAATGCAATTGTTAAATGTGTTTAAACTATACCTTCTGCACCTCAGCTATGGATGTCTGGAAAGTGGCCAAAATATATCTTTAAAAAAATCATGGTGACTTTATGTGGAGAAGAATTGTTCAATTGGATGTGAAAGCTTTTATTTTCCTGTTTTTTCTTTTCTTCTTTTTGTTTGGTTTAATCTGTAAGTGTTATGCAATGTGATGAAACTTATCCCTTTCCACATCTTGGATACTGAATAACACTGTCATTATGTTACTGTCTGAATGTTAGTGTCCCCCAAAATCCATATGTTGAAACCTAATACTAGATGTGATATTATTAAGAGGTAGGGCCTTTTAATAATATCAAATGGGATTAGTGCCTTTATAAAAGAAGTCAGGAGCTGCCTTGCCCCTGTCACCATGTGAAGACACAGAAAGAAAGCACCATCTGTAAGGAATAGGCCCTCCTCAGACACCAAATATGCTTGTCCCGATCTTAGACTTCCCAGACTCTAGAACATTAACAAATAAATTTTATTGTTTACAAATTATCCAGTCTAGGTATTTTGTTATAGCAGTTCAAATGGACTAAGAGAACTATATCTTCAATTTGCTGTTTTAAATAACAATTTTTTATTTGGAAATAATTTTTCGTATATTGTTAATTTTTTGTAACTCTCCTTGTTTCACAACAAGGCTTATTAGTAAATTGTATTTTTCCCATGAAAAGTTTAATTTATTTTAATTTGGAATGTTTTTTAAAATAATGTATTGTGAACAAAACCTCAATGGAGACCCATTTCTGAAAATGCAATTTAAACAAATAGAAAAATATGATTTACTTTTAAAAAATGTTACTTTTTACCAAATTGTTCAACTGGTCAGGAAATTATCTACTGAATAAAATTTTTTCACACATATGTTGTAGGTAAGAACAAATAGAAATCTATACACAATATCCTTTAATAATAAGTTGAAAGTGCACTTAAGTCACCATTTCCAATCAGAGGGATCAGGAATGATTTCTCATTTTCTGGTGTTGTATATGAATATTTTCACAGTAAATATGATTAGTAAATTAATTTAATGAGCCTTATTTTCCATTTGGGATATGAAATCAGGAAAAGAACATGTGCAAGAATATATATCTCAAGGCATTGGAAGTGCATTTCTCCACCTTATGTCATAAGAACAAAGCACATGCACTAATATTAGATGAATCACAATTCCTTTCTTACTTCTGCAAGAGCCATCACATATATGAATCATTAATTTCAGTTTCAAATGACTTAAATAGAGCCCAGAAAGATTCTGTGAGTCATTAGATTCTCTGACTTACTGATTTTACATCTCATCTACTCTTAGATTTCAGGCCACTTCCCCTATATCTGAAAATGCATGTTACATATGATTTTCAAAGGATTAAATAAAGTAGTGGAGCCAGATATGTCACTTACTATGCACATAAAATGCTGCCACATTAAACTTCTAAACATATTTGGTGGTTATCAGGAGCCTCTGTCAATTAGTTGTTAGAAAATTTGCTGGAGAAGCTAAATTTATTTTTGATGACTAGCACCTTTGGTTTTAAATTATTCTTTATTTTTCATTTTTTAACAGAAATTTCCCTAAGAGTGTCAGCTCAGAAGCTTTACATTCTATGCTCAAAAGAGCAGGCTTTATTTATGTGTCTTAATATCCACTGTCAATATCTAATGTCAGCAAACTTTGACTGTAATTTAACATCACAGTTAATGATTTTACCCTATAATTCTTTTATTTATTATTTCTTGCTTTATTCTTTTTTCATTGTGACTTGAAAAAATAAAACTTGAGTTTGGACCATACCAGTATAGAAGCTCCAAAGAGTTAAATTTATAGAATTATAAGTGTACTCTCTTGATATTTTGTTACTAAGTTCAAACAAGAAAGGTGCTCTGACAACTGAGGCTAAATCATAATTTCTGTTTCAGGAAATCACAAAATAAACTAGTCCCCACACAAATATGATTAGATCTAAGAAATAAATTCAGTGTTCAATGCTAAAACATGACAGTTTGAGACACTGAACAGCACAATATTACTAGCTCTTTCTAGAATATTTGAAAGTTCAAGGGAAGCTTTAGAAGAGAGTTAAAAGCCCTGGAAATGCATCATAGAAACACATGATTTCAACATAATTCTTCTATTGGAGTTGTTCCACGGCTAGGCTCAGCTTACCTCCTTGAAGCAGGCTAAATTACGAAATGATTCCAAAAGACAAGGCCATTTCCTGTAATGCCCTCTGCTATTTCTCACCTCAGGCAATGAGTTCTATAGGACTTGGTCACTGCACAGTCTGCTAGCCAACCACATGGCAATCCTTGTGGCCTCATCACACTCTCGGTGTTCCAACTAATTTTCACGTGAGCATCTGATCATTGTTCCATGTTCCAGAACATAAACATACCTCTAAATAGGAGGGCTGCCTGGAAAGTATCCAGCCACGTAACTGTTCTCATTGTATTAACGATGGCTGGATACTTTCTGGATAGCCCTTGTATTTCTTTGCTTTTAATTTTTAATTTTAATTTTATTTATATACTTATTTTTTTATTTCAGAATACTATGGGAGTACAAATGTTTTGGTTACATGGATTGCTTTTGTACTGCTTGAGTCAAAGTTATAAGTGTACCCATCACCCAGATAGTATACATTATACCCATTAGGTATGATTTCCCTCATCCCCTCCTTCCCCCTCCCACCTGCATGATTCCATTGATTTTACTTCCATATGTGCTCAGGAGTGCTGATCAGTTAGTTCTAATTTAATAGTGAGTACATGTGATGTTTCTTTTTCCATTCTTGTGAAACTTCACCTAGGAGGGTGGTCTCCAGTTCCATCCAGATTGTTGCAAAAGCTAATTTATTTATTTGTAATTTATTATTTGTAATTTATTATTATAATTTATTATTATTAATTAATTTTTTATGGCTAAGTAGTACTCCACGGTGTACATATACCACATTTTATTAATCCACTCATGAATTGATGGGGCACTTGAGTTGATTCCTCATCTTTGCAATTGTGAATTGTGCTGTAATAAACATTCTGGTGTAAACGTCTTTTTGATAAAATGTCCTTTCTTTTTTCCTTTGAGGAAATATCCAGTAGTGGGATTGCTGGATCAAATGGTAGGTCTTCTTTTAGTTCTTTGAGGAATCTCCATACTATTTTTCATAGAGGTTGCACTAGCTTGCAGTCCCACCAATAGTGTATAAGTATTTCTCTTTCTCTCTGCATCCATACCACTGTCACTGGGGCTGGATGATATCTCATTGAGGTTTTGATTTGCATTTCTCTGATGATTAGTGACATTAAGCATTTTTTCATATTGTTATTGACCATTAGTCTATCTTATTTTGAAAAGCTTCTGTTCTTGTTTTTTGCCTACTTTTTAATGGGGTTGTTTGACTTTTTCTTGCTGATTTGCTTAAGTTCTTTGTAGATTCTGGTTATTATCTCTTTATCAGATGTATAGCATGAGAATATTTTCTCCCATTCTATAGGTTGTCTATTTGCTCTGTTGATTGTTTCCTTGGCTTTGAAGAATCTTTTAAATTTAATCAGGTCTCATTTATTTATTTTTGTTGTTTCTGTGATTGCCCTTGGGGTCATCCTCATAAATTCTTTTCCTAGGCTGATATGTAGAAGAGTTTTTCCAGCATTTTCTTTTAGAATTCTCATGGTATACTGGCACAAAAATAGAGACAGACTAATGGAAAAGAACAGGAAACCCAGATATAAAACCATCCACATATTGCCATCTGATCTTTGACAAAGTAGACAGCAATATACACCGGAGAAAAGAATCCCTATTCAATAAATGGTGCTGGGAAATTGGATAGCCACATGTAGAAGATTGAAACAGGATTCATATCTCTCTCCACTTACAAAAATTAATTCAAGATGGATAACAGACTTAAATCTAAGACATGAAACCATCAGAATTCTAGAGGAAAATATTGGAAAAACTCTTCTTTGCTTTTAAAAAGGCAGAATCTGTTCCCTTATTAGACCATGGGAAAAACACACAGTTGTATACCTATTTGTTGTTAAGCAGACTCTAACTCTGTTTCACACTGCCTTCATCGTTGATTTTGCAAATCTAACTCCTGGTTGATTCACTTTCACATTCAAACTGACTCAAACCTCTTGTTCTGTTTTTTTGTTTTTTTTTTTTGTTGTTGTTGTTTTCATTTTTGTCTATGCCAAAACACTAAAACTCATGTTTATGAAAATTAGGCCAGCAGACATGTATTGAGCATACTAGGTGCCATGATCTATGAAAAGAACTGGGGACCAAAAAACAGTCCCTCATGGAGCACACACCTAATTGGGAAGACAGATAAGCAAGATTAATTAACACATAATGCCTGTGTTAGATAGTATCGAAGTACTTTAGAGGGAGAGGTAACTCGGTCTGATTTAGGAAGAATTTACAAAGATGTAATGGTGAGCTGAACCGTGAAGAACACACAGAAGTAATCCAGGCAGAAAAGGGTATCCAAGCAGAGCATGAGTCACATGCAAGAGCATGAAGCGTGTGGGTGCACAGAACAGTTTGGGAACTGTGAGTTGCTCAACATGGCCAGTGTAAAGGGTGAGGGAGGCTGTATGGCTAAGGAAGGTGGACAGATGAGCCCGGATCACATCATGCTTAGGAGTGTGGACTTTGTTTATCCAACAGGTCACTGGGCTCCACTGATAAATTTTAGGAAAAGATGTGATATGATCAGATTTGCATTTTGGAAAATACACAGGTGAAGAATGGAAAGGAACCATGAGAGACTGAAGGTGGTGGAGTGGGCAGATGAGAAGGCCATTGCAAGAATTCAGAGAGGAGGTGAAGAGGGCTTGAAGTAAGGCAGTAGTGGATGGAAGGAATGGGAACCAAAATAAAACTCTTATGTGGACCCTATTATTTTACTATGTGCCAGGCACCAGACTGTAACTTCATGAAGTTCTCATACCAACAATTTAAGGGAGGTGTTCAATGAACATACAAGCACCTTACAAATGCGGAAGATGACTTGGGTTAAGCAATTTGCTCAGGTTTGCAATACAACAAAGATGAGATTTGCACTCATATCTCTGGGATTTCAATCTCAGCTTATAAATTTTTAGAACACACTATATCATTGATATGAAATCCAAGGAAGATGAGACTTTGCATAAAGAAAGAATGGTCAATAAAATCAACTACTCCAATGAAAGTTGAAAAAAAAAGACCCGAACAATGTCCAAAGGATTAGGTAGCAGTAGATGGCCTTATAGTAGGGTAGTTTCCAT